AAGGTCAACTGCACTCTGCGCTCCGTGCTTAAAAGGTGTGATTTGACTCGACTGGACGTGCATTGTATGTAATCAGCATGGAGTCAAAATGCAAGGATGAAAGGGAATGCACACAAGTTGCAATGCCTCTCACACGCAGCAGGGGTGACTGGATTTTCAGTGCCTTCACAGGGCACAATTTATGGCCATTATGGTGGTCTATTTCTGGCTATGGTGATGGATTCTGCTCAATTATTGTCCATTATGGAGAAAGATGGCCGCACAACCATGCCAGAAATCACTGGTTCCCGGTGCAGAGCATTACATTGAAATCATCTCTGCATGTTCAGCTCTGCAAAAAAAAAGTAACCTAAACTGGACTTCTGTTGTTTTGTGACTGATTAATGTAGTTATTCCTAACTGTTTTGTTTGTGATCCCTTATCAAACTTGACTTGAAAACAACACAGATTAGAGGAAAATACAAAATAAATTGTTAATTTGGGGGTAAGTGGTATTTTCCTCACTAGTAATCATCTGGTCAGCATTTAAACCATATGATGATACATTGCGATATCCCAGCAAGTGAGGAATGTTCCCACTAGTATGACCTACAGGTTGTTTTAAGGATAAGATTTTAATCCAATGTTCAAAGAATGTTTTACAATACTTATTATTTCAAGTAATGTTCCTGTGAGGTGAAAAGTGAACCAAGACTAAGCATTGTAACTCAAATGTTTGGAGGATGCTTTCAGATTATTATAACAACAAAAGAAGTACATTCAAACATTCAAAAAATGTTGTCAATATGTTCTCGAGGCCTCAAAAGTCTGAATGTTTATTTTTTTATCAAACGTTTATGTAATGTAACATATTAACGAAGGCAGAGCATTTTGCTTGTAATATTCTTATCATGTTTCGGGGATGTTGCAGATGAGAAAGTTCTTCTATCAAATGTTCTCACAATGTTACATAATAACAAAGGAAGGGCAATTTCAGCTTGGCTGCAAGGTGGCTCGGTGGTTAGCACCGTCGTCTTGCAACTAGAAGATCCCCGGTTCACGTCCCGATTAGGATGCCTGGGAGTTTGCATGTTCTCACTGTGCAGCGTGGGTTCTCTCCGGGTTCTCCGGCTTCCTCCCATGCAGTCCAAAAACATGTTGAGGTTAATTGGTGATTCTAAATTATCCATAGATGTGAATGTGAGTGTGCTTGGTTGTCTATCTCTAAGTGTAGCCCTGTGATAGACTGGTGACCTGTCCAGGGTGTCCCCTGCCTTCACCCTATGTCAGCTGGGATAGACTCCAGCCCCCTTCGACCCTAGTGAGGATTAAACGTTGTATAGATAATGGATGGACAATTTCAATGCAGCATTTGGAAACTGTGTTGAGAACATTTCCTAAAAGAAAAAATATAACATGACTAGAACTTTGCAGAACTGTTTTCTACCTCTGTTGCCAAAGAGGAGGGCATACCCTGAAAAGGCCTACTTGGAGAGATATTTTTTATTAAACTTGTGGGGTTAATGTTGTAGCTAGGTACTGCTAAAAGAAATTGCCAGCCAGATATCATTGCAGGCATCAAGATCAATGGTGGCCACCTAGGAATGGGAAGTCTGCTTTGGTCTACCAGTGTCTGCAACAATGGATGCATCCATCCCTTAGATGTACCTGCTTTATCCTGTACAGGGTTGCTGCAGGCTGAAGCTTATCCCAGCTGATAGTGAAGAGACGGTTCCACACGCAGGCCTACAAGCACACCTACGACCAATTTACAAACACCTGCATGTCTATGGACTGTACGAGGGTTCCACATCACCTGGAGAAAACTCATATCGTACAGAAAGAACATGTAACAACCCAGAACCTTTTTGCTGTGAAGGAGCAGTGCAAAACTCTGCACCACTTCAAACATTTACTGATTTCTTAAAATCGTAAACTGCTGATATCGTCACTGTGAGCTGCTACTTATCCAACAGTTCTCCTCCACTGTGGTCCTGACCCATACAGTAAACTTTATTCAATAAGTAAACCCTCTCTAGCCATCATCCTGCTTTCAATATATTTATGTCTAAATAATGGAGAAGAATCGGGAAATAGAGGGCGAGTTCCTATTATTCCTGGCATCGGGGCGCTGCAGTGGCTGTCGTCTTGCCAGAGCTCAGGCTGGCAGTCAGCACAAACTGGAGGTAATTGAGAGAAGTCCCGGCCAGTTGCACAGGGGGGCCTCCACGGGCCTCTGAATGCCACCACAGCCCCCAGCGGACATTAATCAAAATCCCCGATCAATAACTTCTCAAGTGCTAATAAGCACTGGCACATTTCGTGATATGTGAGCCCCTTCATCATTTCAACTACCCGGAGATTTATAGGAAATCCATTGTTAGGTCCAAAGTATGAGGTAATGTAGCACTTAGTAAATGAAGTAAAACCAAAAGCCTAGGGTGATTTGTATTTCATTTACAAAGGACATGTCTAATCATTAGGAGCTCCATCTCTCTGAAAAGCAACCAAACGGCTGTAATGATGGCTGTGTTCTTTTATAGCTTACTTACTCAGCAATGACGCAGGAGATAACAGCAAATAGTAAAGCCTCGCTGTCCTCCACTCCTGACTGGTTCACTCCCAGAGAGCCATGGGGGGACTCCTATGCACCGCAGAGTGATTAAAGTCATGTTAGGGAAGCATTATGGGTCAAGTCATAAAATAATTTGATTTCTGTCCCCCTCCACTGTCTCCTATCAAAGTGATTGGTCTCCTGGTCATCTCACTGGCTGACATAATTGTTAATTAACCATTATGGGCTGCCCTCTCTCATCTATATCTCACAGCAATTACTCATTTGACAACAATGCAATATATCAGAGCGCATGATGTATGGATGCAGACCGGTTTTATGAGTATAAAACTGACTCAATATTGTGAAAATGTTGTGCATCTACTCACATGTAAAGATGCTTATTTACTCAAGTGTTAATTAGCATCATGTCAGCTCCATGTGCTTCATTCTTTACAGGTGCCTTAGTTGGAAGTCTTGGCAGCTGTACTTCACTTAGCACCAAGACATATGCATGAGCACTGAAGAGCTGACAGACTGTTTTCCTTTTCAACCTGTTGTCGGTGCAAATTTGCAAAGTAGTTCCCTGCACTGCTTTTTTCAGGGTTTTTTTTTCCCCCCAACCTTTCGCTTAAGTCATCAGCTCTTTGCACGTCAAGGTGAGTTGTCTTTTCAAAAATACCACAGATCAGGTAAAGAGGTCCAGGGGGAAGAAAGTTAAATAAAAAGCTCTTTAAAATGGTATTCATAAAGAAAAAGACAAACAGTGTCCCTGTTGAAAATAAAAGCGCGCACTAAAATCCATTCTGATGACAGTTGGAAGAATGCAGGCTTTATGGGGGACTTGAGCCCCATCTTTGCCGTATCTTTTAAGCATGATTATTTACTTAAAACAACAAACCAAAGCTCCAAGTCTGGCATTGTGGACGACAGGCCTTTGATTGAGCTCTGAGCTTGAATTCTTAACTAATAAATTGTTCCATGCCTTTGTCTGGGGCATTAACAGCAGTGGTCTACGTTTTTCTTGCCCTAATCTCAAGAATGTGGCAGCCTCTTGAGAAGCTCAGGGGTTTCCTCCTCTCCCAGAGCCAGGTCTTCACTTTGTTTTCTTAGAGGACTCCCTGGATTGACAGGCCTCACCGTTAGCCCTCTCCTCGGCCATCTGTTTTCACCGATTCTGACTGAGCACATCAAAGTCAATCAAGGCTGCAAAGCATTTTAAAAGTTGCACACCCCCGCCCTGTATGTGAGAAATAAAGCAAACTTTTCATCAGGCTCACAAAAAGAGACGGTTTGTACTGCGTGTTTGTGTGTATGGTTTTCCATGTAAGGGTGACCTGGGAGGGATCCCTGAGCTCACAGCACAGGTATGAGCAGCTTAGCTTTGTTCAGCGCCTACTCTGACGACAGCTCAGTGAGTCACCTAGACGCTAACCTCCTTTGGTCAGGTTCCAACTAATCACCGACAACTCCCTGACAATAAAATAATCATTAGTGAGATTGAGACACGTAGTTTACGAACAGTAAAATTGTCCTGGCGTGCTGATAGAAGGTGATCGACACAGAAAACTTTGTGAAGCAGCGTAGAAGGAAGAATCCAGATTTTTTAACCAAAATTAAAGAAAGAAAAAAAAAGCTTAACAATTGTGTGCACAGCATTTTCATGAAAACCCCTAGAGTAAATCAGTAAAATATAATCATAAATAAATATTTGTCATGCAGCAATATTATTTGATTGTTTCCACTCATGTATGCATCTGCATCTGCAAAATCTGTATTCATAGGTTGCAGCTAAGATGGTGCAAAATAATATTTTTTTATACTGTTGGGCAGTTTAAACTACAAGAATCCATAATTCCTTTTATTTCAGATTTATTTAATTACTTTACAGTATAATCTAATAACCAAGAAAGTATGGCTGACTGGTCAGTGTGCAGTAATGGAGTAAAAAGGACATTATTTTTCTTTCAGATATAAGGAAGCAGAGGTAAATACAAAAACTCTAAATTATTCTTATTTTGCACTACTTTATTATTCATAGAACAATATAGAAGGTTAAATGGAGAAAGCAGTGCAGCTATGGTTTTTATTTTTGGTTAATATATGAGTAGGATTACTCATTTTTTCCCCTGTGGTTTTACAAACTTGTAAGCCCAAAGTAAAGGCATTTAAATCCCACATAAAAATCGCAAAAGCAATACCTTACGTTTCACATAACATTTGAACATTGGGAAAATAATTTTGCTACGTAATTCACAGTCTTAAGAGACTCTAAGCACTAATTAATTGTGCAATTATTACGAAAAGACATCAAACACATGACACAATCGAATTTTTTGTGTTATCCAGCTGAGGACACGAGAAGGTCTCAGATCAGCCAATCAGAGGCATCGATGAGACGCCGTGGTGGTGACGTGAATGGGGCGGGGACTGGTTACCTGGTAACCGCTCAAACAGTGCTGATAGGATGGCAATGCGGAAGGTTTGGATTTTCGCTCCTCTTTCACCCCAATTTATTAATTTCTTTATACAAGAAAATGTACTAAATTAAAAAAAAACTGACAGATAAGTTTTATTGTCGTCTGTACATGTACTTTTTACAGTTTATTGGACTTAATTAACGGCAGAGCTGACGTTAGTGTCGTTAGAAAGACAAACTTAAGTCGCCCCATCGTCTGCTTCACACCTGCTAACTGAATTAAATTAATTAGCATTCGGTCATTGGAGCGCCACACGGTTCTATTCACGGGGGGGAAAGGACCAGGATTTAATTTCTCTGTAAAATGAGGTTAAAATGACCATCTTTTATGGAAGCCAGAAGATAGACTGTGCTTTTTGTGACGGTTTTATACGTTTCTTCACACTAATTGTTGCATTAGTGAATTATCTTTGGCAATTAAAGCATTTTCCATTCGACCATGCATTAAGTTAAGTTATGCCTGCATTTGACTATTGTTTGGTGCAGACAGTATGGTTCAGAAGGCATTTATTTTTATGTATTGCTTTTTAATCATCCTAATTGAGATAAATGAGTCTACATTTGCTGCTTTGCCCAAGTTGTAACATCACCTCCTGCCTCATTTAATATAACTGCAGCGGTGAACATATTTTACAGAATGTGAAGTCTGACGCGAGCAACAAATTGGTGATCGCCTCGGTTGCTTTTCAAGACCACATAATGCGAAGCCTGCTGCATCCAGATTTCCCACCTCCTGACCCTTTCCTGAGACGCATCAGAAAAACATCCAGAGATCCCCAAGAGAAGGGTCCGCAAAGACGAGATGGGCAAGAAGAGAGAGAATATGTGCTTGATCCTGCTCCACCTTCTTTAACATTAGGTAGAGGAAATATTCAGGGTTTTTGGGATGACTTTATGTGGTTTATATATGCAGAATCAGAATTTTCTAATTTCTTTTTAGCTCAGAGGTTGGGTTTGGTGGCCTCCCCTGGACAGAGACTGACAGAGGATGAATGGGCTCGGGTCAAGGCGAGGTCCGTTCAGCAGGAGGAATCAGCTCAGCCCTGTGCGATATGCAGGGAGGAGTTTCGCCTTCAGCCTCAGGTATTCCCCAACACTGTAGCTACTGTTAATTCTCTGCGAGAGAGCCCTTTTTTCTTTTTCAAGCATGTTAGTCTTCTGTGTCTGTCCTCAAGGAAACCTGTGTTTCCGTACACACACACACATTTACACACACACAAAGCACCCCCCGCCCCCCCTCTCCCCTGCAGTTCCTGTATGTTCTAATCTGTGTAGACAACTGTACAAATTTACCCATACTGCCTTGGAACTCAACTGTGACGTGATGATGTAGCAATCAGTGTGTTACTGTGAGGGTCATTCAGTCTTTTACACCTTTCCGATCCCCTTTTAAGATGCCAATCTCCTCAAGAATGCGGGACTAGAATAGGCGGCCTCACAAAGCACAGTTGCCATAGATGCACGTGTAAATATTAGTTTGACTCAGGCGAGAAAAAAAAAAAAGTTAATTAGAGCCTGCTAACAAGGGAAAGTGACAAGAGGGAATCTTTGTTGATTTGGCATTTTCCTGCAAGCCTTCATATTGTAACAATGCAATTGTGCCACAATCTTGTGTTGCTTTCAGGCATTAATATGACAGTTAAAATGCTTACAACAGCAGTTGTTCTGAATCAGTTGTGTGGACTGAATTATTGCTTCTCTATCCAGCTCATATTATTTTAATACTAACCAGAGGTTGTTTGTAATAGGTTAGGATTGAAATAGAAAAAGCTTCTCTGCTTTCTATTACATTTTTATTTCTTTTCTGGATTGAACATCTGACTATAAACTGTAGCTTGTAGCCTTAAAGGATAGAGAGATGTGAAATTTCTCTCCGGTCTAATGGCTTGTGGAGTTCCTGGAAATTGTACACTGCAGGGGGCCCTTTCACTGGTGATGGAGTGTGTTGGTCAGGCCAAAAACAATGGGAAATCAATATGCCTCCCCCTTGCCCTCTAGAGGTCTGAGTAAACTGGTTTGTGTGCCAAGCCCCATAGCTTCAGTTGTCTCCTTTCAGACGATAAAAGAGTCCCTCTCACAGGTAGAAGGAGGCTATAGTCCAGGTCCCAGTTGGCCCGCTGGGGGTCATGCTGGCTCCCTCTATCCTCTTAGCAAATAACCCTGAAAGGCAATACAGACATTCACATATGTGCATGAATACACATAGATTTAGCTTAAACCTCACATACTATATGTACACAGACTGTGTACTGTATTTAAGCTTTCCTAAGTACAAAAACAATCCTAAAAACCAATACACAATCAGCATCCTCATGGCAGTAGACATGGCAACCCATACAGTCAGTGAAACTATGGAATCTAAACTCAAAGATTTGTTGATTGCATGTGTCCTCATTGTCCTTTTGTAGGTGTTGCTGTCTTGCTCGCACGTTTTCCACAGAGCATGTCTGCAGGCCTTTGAGAGGTTTTCTGGGAGGAAGTGCTGCCCAATGTGCAGAAGGGATCAATATGAAACAAGAGTGATCCACGATGCAGCTCACCTTTTCAGACATCAATGTGCCACCAGGTGAAGACACTAAACCAGAAATATTGTTAGTGCATTCAGAAGGGTGTTTTAATGTTTCAATAAAACCAAATATGATGCATTCACATACAAGGTAATACAAACTACAGTAAGAACTCTACATTATGTATGTATACATATATACATATATATAATGCATTATATCAGCAACATTTGAGCACATAGAAGACCATCAAATTGCGTAATCACTGAAACAACTGTGGATAAAATGTACTGCTATAAAAAAAAGGAGGATGGAGGAAAGGAAAGATCTTTTTATTTATTTAGCACATTTTATTACAAGCTTTTTATTTTAAATTGGATTAATGTTTAAATTGTACACATCATAGTTTATGTGAGTAATTCTCATATGTCCTATCTTACATAGGATAAATTTAGATCGTCTGATTTGTACTACTAAGAAGCAAGTGGCTTCACAGAAGCATGAGAAGTAGTAAAAATGTAAATATGTTATTTACCTAAACCTTGCAAATCTTTTTTGGTGACATTGTTGAACACGCATCTCTCAGTATATTTTCAAATTGTTACGTCTTTCTTTTTTAAATGTATTTTTCGTCTGCATGCATGTGTAGGATTCAAGCGTACTGGCGAGGCTATATCACTTGGAAATGGTACAGAAATATCAGGAAAACCACCTGCCCAAAGGACAAAAACCTGAGACGCAAGTTCTTCGAAGCGAGGGTGAGTTTTAAATTCTGCGGTGATCACATCAGGAGTCTTTAACTCACACCAAGTATTCATAAGATCACATTGCTGGGCCTCTGTATTCCCAAAGTCTCCTTTTGTTTCTTACATTTTACTCTTTGACACTCTTTGACGGTTTAATTGGTCAAATAACATCTGCGACAAACATCAGCTCTTGAGGGTTAAAATGTGGGTTTCAGGGACTCACTGACCTCAGTGTCAACCTACACATGAACACACACACCTTCACCTGCTGTCACCCTCTCGAGCACCTTTGATGTCTTGTGAATAATACACTGTTTGTCCACTAATGTGGAGAGAGTTTTGTGTTTTAGCCAAACAGTCTGGCCATTCCAGTGTCAACACTACAGCACCTTGTCTCCTGCGCATGTTTGGGTCTGGTTATCCTTCATCCATCTATATCTGTCTGGAGTGTGTGTATTGTCGTGTTACTGAGTGGGATGGAGGAGGGTAAAGAGGTGAAGAAGTTCACCGGGGTATTGTCGCATGTTGTCATGTCACCATTTTGTTCTCTTTTAAAGCTATAAATCATGCAACGACTGGACTTGTTGGAGGAAATATTCAGAAATGTCTGACCACTGGTCGTTTGACTCTGAGGCTGTGTTGGCTTCATGGTGGCTCACAGGAAAAGGGAACATTGCCACCTAGTGAACCTCCCCCAACTGAGGCCTTGAATGACCAAAGACTACACTGGTCACCATTTCTCTTTACGAAACATCTGTTATTTGAGGTGCAGAGATGTTTCTTACGCAGAATCCCTCTTTATCTTATAACAGACATAGCTTCAACACATGTATGTCCAGTGTCTTGCGAAGAGCAGGCGCTACTTATTTCTGCGAGGACTGTGGCAATCATGCAAAGTGCTCCTGTGCTTCAAAGAGGCTGATTAAGCAAAAGTGACAAATGCACGAGGGCCACACTTACAATGTGTTGCGAGGGTCAGAGTGTCCTACCCATCCCCCTGTCAGTCTCCATCATCTCGCCTATAAAACCGTGCCTTAATATGTCACGTAAACAAAGACACCGCATTTACTGAGCCAATTAACTCTGTTCTAACACATTAGCCCATGTCCGGGTCCACATTCTCAGGATGGAGTCATAGACAGTGTCAGCCGCTTTACATTCAAGTTGTGTGATTCAGTGATGGTGGGTGGTCATGAGATTGTCTCATATCTTTTGTCACACTGAGGATGATCTTCAAGAGCTGCGCAACACAGCGCTGACAGGTCTGATTGACTTGATTTTCAAGGGGAAGACTTATTTGCTTAGCTGACTGTAATGCAAACAGGCGTGTTGGTGCTGAGCTGGGGCCTGTATGAGACGAAGAAACCTATTCTTTCAGTTTTTCCTCATGATAGCAGAGAGCAATAAAGCATCTTTGTACCATGAAGCCACAGGTGTTACCTGGAAAGAAAACACCTAGATATCAGGTCAGTTTCTGAGTCCTTATCAGCTTATCCTGATGCCCAGCTTTCAATTTTTGCTCTGCTTCGGAGGTCCGACCCTGAGTCAACACATTAAGGGAGACAGTACCGACATCTAGATGGATTGCCATGAGATAACGCCTCTGCGTCCACCTCCACTTCCCCCCTCGGTGTCCTCTCTGGTCCGCATCTACTGTGGAGCGAGGCAAAGTTCACCAGAGGTTGTACTGTTTGCCTTGACTGTCGAAAAGTCAGCCACGCACATAAAACTCTCCATCCAAATGGTTAACAGTTGTTTAATTAGTGATAAAAGCCTAGCTGTAAAGCAATTCTGATGGCACTGTGACAGGCTCAGGGAAAGGGCTTGTTTGTGTGTGTGTGTGTGTTTCATAGAGAAAACAAGTACATGTGTGCAAACGGGTGCTGAGGCTAATGCTACTATGTTGGTATAAATACCAATCATTCATTTTCCAAGACGTAGTGCGACACAGCTTGAATCAGTGGTTGATTGACAGTCTCTCTTATGTGATAGTAAACTCAATATTTTTAGGTTTTGGACTATTGATCAAACAAAAGAAGAGCTTTGAGATGGGCTTAAGCAAACTATGATGGATGACAGTCACTATTTTTTGACAATTTATAGACCAAATGAATGAATAAATTAAGAAAATAATCAGTAGGTAAATCAATCATTTGTTGCTCTACATTAATAGAGTTTTTGCAATTGCATACAGTTATTGAACTAGTGAAATTATTTAACAAAAATATTCTTGCCACAAGGCTTCAGAACCTTCAACCACATCTCATGGTCTTACACACAGTTGTTAATAAGATGGTTTGTTTGGTATAATTTGAGAGGATGCTGTTGCTTTTGTTGGAAACTCAAATCTGTGTTGATCGGTCAGTGGCATTGTGCCTTTGAAATATACAGTATATACAGCCGTCTCATTGTTTCATATGTTTTTGATATTAATTGTTGCCTAGCAACAGCCGCTGTAAATGGGAGAAGACAGATGAGATCTGGATGTAGAGACAGAAGAAAGATGGCTTTTTAAAATGGTCAAATTGAGAATGGAGTAGTTGACTGGGTGCTCCAGAAAATTAAGATGCTTTGTTTAAAATCCACATCCCCAAATCAGGGCTGTAGAGAGAGAGACGCTAAGAGTCCAAGTCCTCCAACTAACATCCCTCCTCAGCAAAATTTGCACAGAGATCAAAAATAAAGGCTTAAAGTGTCTGGAGTAATTTGCTCTATTATATTGTATTTATTCAATTAACTGTACAAATGCTGTTTATTGTATTTTATTGTTCAATTAACTGTTCAAATGGTGTTTCAAAGCCTTCTTCACACTACAAGGGCTTCTGATGGGAAAATGCAGAATTTTTGGGGGGTATTTGTCTAAAAGTAGTTGAAGTTCTTCTTTGGTCATTGACTAAACCCTTCATCTCTGGGTGTCAAAGTTACATATTTTGAAGTTTTTTTTTTTTTTTGCCTTTGCCCTGTGCTTGTTGTTGATGTACAGCTTTGCTTTTTTTTCCTTTAGCGGGTTTGTCTTTGTCCTGCTCTCGCTCTCTCTCCCTTTACCCTTTCCCTGCAGCTCGAGCACACCAGCTCACCTACAGCTCTGCTGAAACACAATGGCAAGTTGTCATATTGGATGTCAGCCGTATTTGTTAGGACCGGAAACTAATTCTAAAAATGAATATTGATACAGAAAGCCCACACGACTTTTACTTAAAAACTGCAAATGTTTCCTGAGGTTTGTCATGTAAGAAACCCCAGAAGTCTGAATCTATGTTTTTGAGACTAACATTGTTACACTGAAGTTTCATGGAGGAAATACTCAGCCATGGTGTTGATTCCTTATTTCACTCATTGTATGTCTTTCAGCACTTAAAAAACAACATATAGGCATGTTAATAAGGTTGTTTTATTTTTAAGATTTTTTTTTATCAGAAATGGTCTTGAAATCTTAACACCTTAGGTCTAAAACACTGGAAACAGTCTATAAAATGCACCCCATTTGCAATGTAAACTCTCACTGCTTTGCTAAAATGCCTGTATTCCCAGAGGAAATGACTTCAATGGTAGCTACAGCCCTGTCTGGTAAGATAGAAATACCACCATGAGATGTAAGTTATGTCTCGGTGAGAAACACCTGGCCACTGTCCAAGTGTGTGTCTGCCGACTAATTTGGTTAAGAAATATGGCTGTAAATCATACACAAAGTAATCACAAGTCATTTTAGGGGAGAGAAATTAGTAATTCCGTGACACTTCATCTTCAACAGTTAGTAGTTAATTGGCTTTACCGACTATCTGCCCAAACAGTGTGCACGAGACAGAAGCAGTGTGTATGAAGCAGGAAAAGTGTCAGTGATGTATGTGTTTCCATGTTTCCCAGCACTATCTTCCTTTTTTTACTGGTTTCCATTAATTCTCCATGTTAGTGGGAGACGTGATTGTATTGATCTGGCTGTTTAACAACTGCACCCTGTCAACGTGCCTCAGCCATTACAATACACACACACAATTAGCCTTCGCCGAAAACACGACTCTATTGTGTATCTGAATGAAACATTCACATCCTTTGTGCCACTAAAATGGTTTTTCTAATTAGTTGCAGGAGTTGAATGACAGCTTTGTCCGATACTGTCACACCGACACGGAGGCTTTTCTGAGTGATATCGACCGCTCACTGTCATCAAGCAGACGAGTGTTCCAGCAGCTGGAGAGAAAGAGCGTCTCCGAACCTCAGGAGAACGACTGGGACCGAATAAAGAGGCAGGTCAGGAAGAAGACACACTCTGCTGAACCAAAAGCCACTTGTATCATTAAACAAGGCCCCATAAAAATGTCTAATCCCAGTCTGATTCTTCCTCCTGCCTTGCCTTTCCTCTGACATGTTAATGCTTGCATGGGGACGGCAGCATCACAGCTGCTATATAGAAAGTACATATCTCCGCAGAGGTGATCATTCTCTTTACCAAATGAATGCGTCTAATAATCCTCTGTGTTTACAAAAAACACGAGCAAGGCTGATAATGCACGGCAGGCTTTTCATCGCCTGGACTGCTGCGGAGGAACTGAAAAGACATTAAGATTTGCTGTTCCATAAGGCTTCATTGTTGGCTTTCATTGCAGTCAGTACCATTTTCCATAGAGGGGGTGGGGTGTGTGCAAAGAAGATGTCTTTTTTTTTCTTTATCTGGTGTGAAAAGGTTGAGCACAAGGCAGGAGTGGCTCAGCCTTGACATGAAGCATCAAACAGTGAATGCGCTTTCAACACATACCTTGCACCTTTTTCACGGGTGCAAACTTTATAAAGCGGAGTGCAGCTCGTTATGAAACATTTAACAGCGGGGCACGTTGGCCCCTAAATACAGGAAGCTGTCTTTGGTTAATCATTGGTGGAGCTGTGCATGTGTTGCTTTGTTTTTATAAGGATCACTGATAAGCATGCTGTCACTTCGTGTCTGATCAAACCTGTCAGGTAGTGCTAACAGATTTGTTTCGGAGTTCTTTATAATGAAACAGCCCTCACTTGAGCGGTGGGAAGTCACTATTATTCATCATCAGGACAGTCAGATTCATGCAGAAATTTCCTCGCATGATGCACATGTCCATTCACGTTCTGCAACAGACGCATTTAACAGGAGCTCAAAATACTCTATTAGTCAAAGAACTAATATAGCTTTGCTTCAAACAGGTTATCCAGAGAGGCGTCTGGGACTGCCCCATCTGCCTGACTGCACTGTGCAACCCCAGCATCCCAACACAATCTGATAGATCCAACAATCAACAACGCAGGCACACCGTGCTGCTGTCCTGTTCCCACCTTTTCCACAATCTCTGTCTGGAGGCCTTCGAGACCTTCGCTGCCTTCACTGCAGCTGGCAGACCGACATGTCCACTGTGCAGATCTGCCTACCATAAAAAACTCATCTAACCAGGTAAAGATGGCATTTTGTATGGCCTAAATACGCTTTACTGTATCTGTGACAAAGTCACAGACATGGTTACACACGTTGGAAACTATTCTGCACTTTCTAGTAGAGTTGGATGACAAACTCAGTATCTCTCATTTTTACGGCACATGGCTAATCTTCTGGCTTTCTACAAGTTAAATAAGAAATAAATCAAACCACAACCTGTAATGCACACCTACCACTTCCAAGGCTTACCGAACACATTGTGCCCCTCGTGTTAAATCTGCACATAACAAGAAATGTAAAAATGACAGTTACATTGTGCATTATTTGCCAAACAGCAGCCAGGCACACTGTAACAGGGAACCGGCGGTTGCAACTGAACGTTGTTTGACAAGACATAATTACAGCACGCAACTCCCCATTAAACCACAAGCTGTCATCTTTACATTGTTTATTTGTGGATTAAAACAAGTGAGATGTTGTGTGTTAGTGAGCTTTAGGGGTGCTGATAAGTTGTTTTTGTTTGCTACCTTTGGACAGAGCCAGGCTACTTGGTTCCCCTGTTTACGGTCTGTATGCTAAGCAAAGCTAATAATATCCTGGCTTTAGAGCCAAACTTCGACGATAAACATAAGCTTTTCTTATCTTCTTTTAAAGATCGGTTCTCGCATGTGTACCTGTATTTGATGGAGGTAGAACAGACATTTGGTTGGAAATGTGCATAGAGAGCGAGAGAAAGTGGGACTACATCCCCTCTTGGCGAACTTTTTGCAGTGCATTTCCTGCAATTGATTTGTCAGTCTCCGCTGTTATCCCAAATGGCACAATGATAAATCAAAAGACGTTGAAGCATTTTCTTTTATTTGCAAACACACAAACATCAAAAATAACGAAACATACATTTAGCAAACTGAGAAATCGTAAAAAATACATTCACAAAACATGTACCAAAAATTACATGCAGATCGACTGACGTACAGACAGAAATAAAAGCTGCTTTACTTACAGTACAGGTCAACTCTCAGCTTTTGAACCCCCTCACACAACACAGAGATGTACTGTAAAGGCAACCAGAAAAAGCTTACTTGAATAGAAAATGGCTCTCACCTCAGAAGCAACTGCGAGGAGTATGATTGTGATGTTTTATTAGAGGTGAAACACGTCCCTGCTATGTATTGTCCAGTTTAACTGCAGTCTGTAGCTGAGTGGATGTAAGCACAACTATGACATAGCTTAAAACACTCCACTTTGAGCCAAATTCAACTGCAGTTTATCCAGATTAAGAAATGAAATCCAGCTGATAGTATTCTTTTTTACCAAATTACAGTATCATCCTGTTTGCGTTTTCTTATCATGTTGATTTTTCACAGTACCCAAAGATCAGCTCGGTGTTACTGTCAATAAAACAGCTGTAGACACACATAAAATGAAACAAAAATCTACAAAAATGCCTCTGCCAGTATAGGATTTGAGTAAATCTGCTCTCCTGAAATCTGTCAAAATCAGAAACTTTGCCCTGCTTTGGTTTTGGAACAATAAGAGCCATTATATATATAGATCACCCTTTACAAAACATCCTCACGTCCAATTTGAGAATTTGGCATCGGTGTGAGTTCAATGATTGAGAGTTGTACGTCTCCTTTAAATCCAGTCTTTGTATTATAGCAACACCCAATTGGAGACAGTTTCAATAAAACATTCTTTGTCCCGAGAAACAAACATTTCAAATGCATATATGACTTCAATTTTCCTTTCTTCCATTGCTTTTATCATCTTCATGTCATTTTTAGTTACCAAACAAATTACATCTCCCAACACCATAAAAACAACATCATCAAATCACTCAACTCTATCCTAGCAAGTGCTCAAGTTTTATGAGTATCATGAGTCTCAAAATGGAGCCGCTGTGACAACATTCATGGCGAAAAGAAACGTGTGTTACATCCAGCTGGCTTTAGACTAGAAACTCGGTGGTGTACAGGGGATCACAGTGGAACTGTCTACAGACTCACAATGCACATGTGCATGTATGTACATGTGCATAAACAAACTCCACAGAACGAGAAACAACCTTAACATTAAGCCTGCGAGATGCTTGTCGAATAAGGCATTTAAGGTGGTTCTGGAGACAAAGAACATCACAGTTTGGAAGAATATGCAGCAATACAACAACATGTAAAAGGGGCCTGAGTCACCAAGTCTTTCTTCTGGCTCCAAAGCTGGATGTTTTCCCCTCATGCATTCTGTGTGTGAAGACTGTTACAGGTTTGCATTAGATCTAGGTGTTTATAAAAAAAAACAAAAAAAAAAACAAAACAAAGAAAAGTCCTATATGTACAACAAAATACAGAATGCCGAGTGAGTCAGACCTTCAGCGGACTCAGTGAGAGCCCAATATCTGCATCCAAATAATGCAAAAAGAGATATGAAACACAATACAATATGTACATTTGAATACAACATTTACAAATAAAGTTGACAATTTTCTGTGCCCTGTAATTTTTGGGGGGGAAAAGCAAAAAAATGTGATGACATTTTCTTACCATGTGCATAATAAAAATTTTAGGAAACACAACCTCAGGATTAGCTTGAAATGCACAAAAGCATTTTGCTCATTGGAACTGAAGTGGCTAAAGCTCCCATATAGTTTCCCATTTGTAGAGTAGCTCGAGTCAAATCTAGAGCACCTAAAAAAAGTTCTTACCCTACTTCATACAAACTAATGACATCATCAATAAAGTTAAAGCGCACTTGAGTAAAGCCAGATAAAAAGACGAATGACAGCGAGTGCTAAAATCTGACGCCTATCATTAAGAATGACAGCGCCAATGCATATAATGTGAATTGTATTAATGCCGTGCGGTTTTATGTGCTGGCTGGGATGAGTGTGAGCGAATGAATTATTCTCATGCTTCACAAAGCACATTTTTGTTATTTTCACATTTTGAGCTTAAATCAAAAATGACAAATTGACACCTTATCATGCCTGTATCAGTTCACGTGACAATCAAAATCCAACGATTAAAGACCATTAACTGTAAGTGCGCCATGTATCACTGACATACTGATTACACATACTGACATTTTTTTGTTTTTTAAATTGTCTAACTGAAATGTGGGGTCGTATTTACGTTACTGAGTACAGAGCCGGATTGTAAGACTTTACCCTCCTTCTTTTGTCTAGTGCAGTGGTGTATAGGTTGTCGAAGAATACCAGGTAGCAATGCTGGGGGGGAAGAATGCTCCTGAAGCAAGAGATGGGTGGCTTGAAGTCACAGTCGTGGTTGAGGTCAACATCAAGGTCACTGCAGTGATGCCAGTCTATTTCACTCCTCAGTCTCAGCTCTGGCTCTGTCCCAGCTTCCATCCGAGACGCAGAGGATGGAATGTCACGAAGCTAAATTGCTCTCAGCCTCCATTTGCAGCATCCGTCAGACACTGCCTGGGTTTATTAAGTTCCTTCCAATCCTTTTCACCTTTCAGCAGTCAGGCAGTACTGTCGAAATCTCCCTTTGGCTGTGCTAACGTGTGTGTGTGTGTGTGTGTGTCGTGTGTGTGTGTGTGTGTTGATCTATCGTCCCTTTCACAGAGTTTTCTGATGCCCGTTGGCCGAGAGCTTCCCAGATTCAGGGTCTGTGGGGCTGTTTGACAGTTGCAATTTATCCAGACCTGGGCAGTGGGAGATAAGGCAGAGAAATCTCATTAAAAAGCCTCAGACTTTCACTTAGACAGAGGTATTGATGTCCCTTTTCCCCCTCAGTGCCTCTGTCTGACATTTTCTAACCCTATCCCACCCTGTGTATCAAACATCCAGGGCCTGTCACCACAAGCCTTTGAGACTAGCCTCATCCTCTGTCACATGTCAGTTCCACAGCACATTGGATCTTACTGCAATTTCTTCCATTTTGTCACTCCAGGTCGTGCTATCGGAGACAAATAAACACTATCTCTCTGCAAAGCCACAGAGAAGTTTGGAGTTGTCAGTGTTTCACACCAAATCTTTGTGGATACAAAATTTGGATGAAATTGAGTAGTCAAAAGTTACTACTAGATAGATCGCTTTGTATTCTAGATGAAATTCAACGTATCAAAAGCAATCCTGTTTATCAGACATTGCAATGAAAGAATATAAGAAGCAATAAGTAACTAGCATGTTGTCGTATATTGAAAGGTGCTGGGTAGAAACATTCAGGATATTTGAATTACCTAGGGCCTTTAGGAGCTCTTCCCGTACTGCTGAGGTGAATTTTCTCACAAGACAAAGTGTTGTCACGACCGCAAACAGCAGGTTGTATGAAAGGACAATGTAAAAGTTTCCCAGCCAATTAAATCTCCCAAAGTCTCCCAAGAGATCAAACCTGGTGATACCTGAGTAGGACAGAGACACAACAAAACAACTGGGTTAGAAATCATGTAGATATTCAGTAAAAAAATTATTTCTTGAATAGAACTTTGTCAACCTGACCTTTAATAACACCTCATAATAAAGAGTCAAAATTATTTCTCCAGATGTCCAAACTGCTGTAAATGTTGCAAAATAAACAAAACAAAACCAAAAAAAAAACCACAAGGCCCCTTTTGACAACATAAGTATTGTGTTCATAAGCAGAATTCTTCCCAGAAAACGCATGGGGCTGCAGCAAACAGGAACATTTAGGAATGCCTTTTCTGTCTGCAGTTAAGGCAAAGTGTCTTCTCCAGTGGTCCGTCTCTTTCAACAAGTAAAAAAGCCCAATGTGAAAGAAGGGCTTACAAACAAAAACTAGTTTAATGTGCGTTACAGGTATAATCTCAACATGAAAAAGTTGTAAAACAAATATTAAAGTAAGTGACCTTTGATAACTGATTGTAACAGTTCTTTTACATTTTGGGTCCAAGATCAGCCCCTATGTCCACCATGTCCATTTTTTATCATATTAAATGTTCTGCTTAGGGTCTTTTTTGGCCAAAATAAAATGGTACAAAGAAGAGAGCCACTCCCAAGTCTTTCACAGATTCCCAGTCACCTGTCCACACA